TTTGCGAGATCTCGCAAAAGTTTTGCGGGATCTCGCAAAAGTTAATTTTTTCCCTCCATGTCCCTTTAGGGGCTCCGTAATGAACCTATAGCTCAGAACAAAGTAGAAATCAATTCCAGTGACCAGTCCATTTCTGCATATCTGTTAAACATCTTAAATTCTTCTAAGACGTTTTTTTTTTTTACTTCTTCCAGCCCGGGGCGCTCCTCCTCCTGCTATGACAATGAGATCGTCATGATGAACCATGTGTACAAAGAACGCTTTCCAAAGGTAACCTGCTGAGTCTCACTGTTACAAACATTCAAAATGGTTTTGCAATGCAAATTATTCAGCAAGAATGAAATTAACTGCAGTTCAATGAATAAAACCTTCAAAGCAGTAAAGCATCATTCCAGTCCTCATGATATGTCATAAAAATGATATCCTTCCTGTTTAAACATATTTGATATCAGCTTTCCAGTGAGGGTAGCTCGGCGTCTGATAAAACCATATCAAATCATATTATGTTATGCCACTAAGTCCTTTTACTCATTTAGGGAGAATATTAAGTTTGCTCTCTCCCACGGTTTGGAGCTTTGAAATAAAGGCTTGTTTTATCTCTCATACTCTCTGCCTGAGTTTGATATCAAGAGGAAATGAGTTAAAAAGCTTTTGGATTGATAAAAATCATGCTTGCCAACGGGTATTTTTCTTAGTAAAAGGTTTCTAGACTTGTTACCATGAAAGTTAATTGGAAAAAAGACATTGTTGATGAAATGAAATTAAATAAATATGCAGTAATACAGAAGCTTTTTTAATTTAAGCACAAAAAAGGGATTATTTTTTTCTTATATCTTATCTCTTTTTCTTTCTGTATGTCATATTTTCTTTCTCCATTTTATCCGCAATTCGTTGTCGTCCACCCGGCCTTCATCAGGCCACAGCACAGATGGAGGAGAGGTTGGCTGAGTTCACCCAGGCTTTCTCACCCGAAAGCGTTCTTCCGCTTGCCGACGGAGTCCTCAGCTTCATCCATCATCAGATAGCAGAGCTGGCCAGAGACTGCCTGGCAAAATCACGCGAGGGCCTCATCACCTCCGTCTACTTCTTTGAACTGCAGGAGAATTTGGAGAAGCTTCTACATGATGTGAGTTATGATAATATGTTGAGTTTTTTTGTTTGTTTTGTTTTTGGTGTGAACAGCACTCCTACTCCCTTTAATTCTGATATATTACAACAACAAACTTCAATATGTTGTCTTCAAGCCTAATAGCATCAACCAACACCAAGCAGATATAACATTATATAAAATTCCAAGCCTATTTTTGTTGAGTTGACCAAAACACATTTTCTCAAAAGTTAGTATCTATCACTTCTAAATTTAATTAGAATGTAATACATGACATAGGACCAGAATGTTCACATTTTGGACAAGTGGTGGTTTGAAAGGGGCGTGAAGGAAGCCATTTATATTAAGAAGGAAAAACCAACCTCAAACAGACTTCGGCTTTCCAAAATCTACAATGCAGCAATTGAGTTGACCCCTTCCTGTTATCATTGCAACCCCAACCCCTTTACAGGGGAACAGAAGACCTCGCCTATTCAGCCAGGCCAACAATTCCCTTTAACCACCTCCATTTCAGGGACATATACAGGTATGGGACATTGCAGGCTAATTAGCATATTTTCTAAACAAAAACAAGGCTTTGTTGGCCTCGAACTCAACACTATTTCTGACATTTTGAATTGAAAAGCCTTCTTGGATGGGAAGCAAAATGTCTTCAAACTTTTTTTTTTTTTTTTGGAATGACTATGACCTAGGTGACTGAGAGTCTTCAGCACATTAGTGTCTGGATGTTTATTACTATTACTAGTGTATTACTATGTCTAATAAACTATGCAAACACTACAAGCTACTGGAATAAACACAGAATACATGAAATTATCCGTAATAAAAGACTTCAAATAAGTCCTTGAGGTAGAGTTTTGTTATTCTTCAATTCATTAGCTCAGCTGCTGTGATGAGGGGACGTCCATCAGATTAGCAGCACAGCTGATATAGCAAACAGACGTGTGACAGTGGCCGTCTGTGGTAACAGTCAAATCAGTTGAGTTTCAGTTAATCCAATAATGAAAAATTACCACCAAACATGATACATTTGATGTGACAGCATTGAAATTTGTGTGGAAACGAGTGATTGTGTGGGGATGCAATGCTGCTGTAGTTTAGTGGCTGTTCTTGCAGCTCACAGCTCAGGAATACAGCCGCTCACAGTGCAGAATGGTACACTAGACATAGGACAGCTGGCCAGGACATAAACCTGGTGCTACAGTATCTTGGTCGATCGGCAGAGATTGAAAAACTCCTCCTACATTGCATCAGAACTGGCGTACCAGTAAGCAGGTTGCAAAATTACATTCGCCACTAACCAAATGTGACAAAATTTTTCATTTTCCAGAGCACCGTTCAACACAAGGCGGGTAAATGTTTCATCCACAGTTGCGCTTCAGTCACGTCCCTCCATCTTTTATTTTGGCAAGTCTCCCCTCTTTCTCTTTGTCCCTCTGCTGTCTGTTCCTCACACAGCAATGGACAGACGCGCCTACAGAGGTTACACCTCCCACAACCCGTTGTTTAACAACAACTCTGCCGCTAGGCAAACTGTGGCGTTATATAGTTGGAGCAGCCAAGCCTTCTAAAAGACAAATGCCGATGAGGAGGAGGGGCGAGGATCTACAGCCCCCAGGGGTGAAGAGAAAGTTTATTGGAAAATGGCATTTTATTGAAGACTGTATCGCAAGAAACTGGCTTATTTATGATGATGCTACACTAATGCGATGCTCAGAATGCAGCAAATATGCAAAATAGACCAAACACGATTAATTTGTCGCTGCCTGTCAGTCTATGAAAGTGGAGAGCATCCGTGTATGCAAACACAATAAATGCCACATTCACTGGATGTCCAGGTCTCAGGCTCAGTTCAAACAACCCATACAGCAACTGTGAGAGAGCTGATGGCTATATCGCCACAAAAACAGAAAGATGAAGATATTGTTTTGCACTGCTCATGCCACTGGAAGAAAGGCTTTGCTTTTATTTATGATCTATATAACAAATGAAAATAGACTCCTGTTTTTTTTATGTTTTTTGTATTGTCACTGTTGCACATAAAAGTATTTTGCACTTTTTTGACTGAAATTTAATGAAATGAACTACAACTTTATTTAATAAAACTACATTATCTTTTACAGTAATTTTGTTTGCATTTAACTTTATGCCTTAGAGCAGAGGTCTTCAACAGGGGTCAGCGACCCCTAGGGGGTGTCCACGGAGGTTCACCGAAGTTTTGGTCGATTAGACTTTTTTTTGCAAATTTTTCCACTAATTGAAATGTCTTTAAATCCACATGAACATAAATTCAACACACTGTAGTAAACAGATAAATGGAGGCAGAAGATGTCTTTCAGTCATCAATGCTCACATTCAGCGACACACAGGAGCTCTTTCAAGCTGGGCACCGTTTCATTCACAACACCTGTCCCATCAACCAGGAATCAGAAATACTTTAATAATCCCAGGGAGAAATTACTTTCGTCACATTACTCCATCTGTAATAGAGTGACTATAGGATCAGTTTGATATAACACAATTTCATGCAATATATATAATTGGGGGGGTCCCTGCTCCATCTGGCCATCAGTTTGGGGGACCCATGGCTGGAAAACGTTGAAGACCCCTGCCTTACAGAAATGATATGTACCTTAAAAATACATGAGAGGATATTGTTTTTGTTTGTTTTTTTCTGGCGGGTAAAAATAATGCTTAGCCGGCATATAATTTTGTCTTCCGGACCACTTGGCCAGTAGTCAAAAAAGTTAATTTCGGGCCCTGCCACCAAGGTTATAAAGAGCTTAAGGTTTAGAGCTTTTTTAACGAGCGATGCAGCAAACAAAAATGGACACCGGTTCTGGGGATTGCATCAGGTGGAATGTGCCCTCCAGCTAGAAGTTTGGCATCTCTCCTTTGCATCCAGACCGAGGTCCATGGAAAGAGAGAAAGAAAGATGGTTTTCTTGGTGGATTTAGAGATGCTACGGCGTGAGGATGTGATATCAGAGGGACGGGAGTTGTATTTCTAAACCGGGAAGTTGTAGTTCTGATTCATAACATGATTAAAATGGGTAAACACTGAATTCCAGCTTCATGCTTCCAGTTTATATGAATAATTATATGAACTATTTTGAAGAGGAGCACAAGTGTCATTTGGAACAAATATCCCACAAATCCACAAATTGTTAACACGTTTCTTTGTTTCTTTTTTTTTTTGTACTCCCTTTGATTCTTCTACTATACTTAACATAGACAGCTCTTTTTTATAATTCTACATGTGCATGCTTGTGTTACTGTCTCTGTCTTTGTCCCAGGCCTTCAAACGCTCGGAAAGCTCAGAAGTAGCCTTTGTCACAGAGCTGGTGAAAAAGCTTCTAATCATCATCTCCCGACCCGCGAGGCTTTTAGAGTGTCTGGTAAGTTTAATCAAGACGTCCTTTAGCCACATCGTAGCCTACTAGGCATTTTAAACTTTTTGAAACCTTCAGGAAATAGATTGCTCTCATATACTGATCTTTAAGTCCATTACAAGTTTTTAAGTACCCAAATCTATTACACAGAAGGGGGTAGAAATGTAAAACAGCTAAAAACCAAAGGTGGGAGGCTGTTTGTATAGCTGACAGAGACATTTGCATATAGATTAAAATTTGTCTTGCCACAGTATAGCTAATTCCAGCGGCCCTGCTCATTGGCTGCTTTCCAGTCTGAGTCAGTCAGACCGTGACCGTGATGTCATTTAAAGTTGGAGAATATCCAAAAGTGGGTTTATCTGCGGAGCTCAGCTCGACTAGGTTTCATAAGAGGATTTTACCCCTACGACCCTGCATGACTCATTCCATGCAGAATTGGTTTCAGGATTGGGACCGAAAACTGAAAAAAATGACATAAAGAAGTGTTTTTCATTCTGTCTTGGTGTACTAGAGTCTGTTTTTGAACTACGTTGTTATTGTGCTTTTTATTTTTTTGATTTCAGTAGTAAGAAGGTTTTTTTTGGTTTTGTAATTTTACAGGATTTTATTATACAGGAATATAATAGGTTAATGAAAAGGTGAATCTCTGTTGTGGGTTAATACTAGGCACCGATTGGAGGTTTCTGGTCGATCACTGATTCCCGATCTTTAAAAAGCATGAAAAGCCAATTCCAAATTTGATTGATACAGATTGTTTTTATAAAATCACGAAACCCCTAAAATAATTTCTATATTACCTTACTAACATGCATTAATTAGTACCGGTGAAATGATAAAAGCTGAAATTACTGCTATTAAATATAAATAAAGTTTAGCACCTCGATTGTCATACCTTTGCAGAAGTAGATAACATCTGTGGAAACGATTGTTTTCACATCTAAGTATTGGTGCTAAGTTGGTGCGTATGGAAGCATTTCTGGAAATGCTTTTTCATTTTAAATATGGTAACGATTTGCTTCCATAGGGTGCACCCTTGATTGTGCAAATTACATGCTCGGAACTCATAAACTAGACACGTTTCTGTAGGATTACTGGTTCAAATCATGATCAGCTTAAAAGGCAGATAAACCTCAGTTTTTTATGTTTCTTTCTTTCATTATATTTATTTTTTATATATACAATCTTATTGCAATACAAAAAATAGTAAGATCAAATGATCCCTTATATGCATTTTTCAGCCTTGTAACAATTAAGTTGAATCGAGTATTATATAATATTGACCTTGGTAGGTGAATTGTTATTTATAGAGATAGTGTCATAATTGTTGACCAGTTTCTGATCTCTGGTTTTTACAAGACTTTAACGTGGCTTTATTGGATTTGATTGAGTTTGTTTTTAAAGATTTTAAAGGTGCAAAGACAATAAGTCACCATCTGCTGTTTGTTAATACATTAAAAGGTTGCGTTCCATCATTAATGAATAAAAGTGAATTCCTGAAAGCACTGAAATAAAAATCTACCTGCAAATTAGAAATGACTATGTGAAACTTACAGACCAAGCACATTTAAAGAAAGACCAAGTAGAGATGCACCAATCCATACATTTCCACTTCCAATTCCGCTCTAATACTTGAATATGGATATCTGCTGATCTCGTTACTTTCAAATACCAGAGCTCTGTTTGCTTGAATGTTATCACTACTGTTAATCTTTTAAGAGGCTGTCATAAAACTCCTTCCCACAAACAATAATGATCTATGTTGTAAATAAATGTTGACATATATCCCAAAAGGCTACGTGGGATTAGTATAGGAATGGAAAATTAAGTTTTGAAAACAATAACTAGTTTTAATAGGGCAGATTCCCCCATGAAGACAAATGTACAACTGTAAAGGTTTAAAATGATGTACCTATTACATCAAATAAATACAGTTTTCTGTTGTTCAAAAAGCTTTTATCTTAATGTAACTGTATCATAGAAACTGACTGGATAGATCTGCCCCTATGGATCAGGCCCATTTTCAGTGATAATCGATCTAGAATTATCTTCAATATTGGGACCAGATATTAATATCTGATCGGTGCATCTCTAGGATCGACTTCAAATTTTGGAACGTCCAAGTCAAAGCTCTGCCAATAATCGCATCAAATGCAGTGAAGATCATTAATAAAGCCAATAACACAAGATTATTGATCACTTTATGACTGCCGCAGGGAAACTATGTCATTGAAGCGAAAATAAAACCCAGTAAAAATAGAAACAGACTAAGATTAAGAAAATAGGTTCATGGAATAAGAGTAAGAGTAAAAAAAATACCAAAATGTTCTTGTTGAATCAACATATATGACCAGCAGTGAATTTGGTAACAGTTTCTCAGTATACTGTAAGCTACAGTGTGCAAACATGAAACAGTGAGTACAATCTTCCAGGTCATTAGTTAGAAACACTTAGAGCTGATTCTAATGTCTTGGATAAATAACCTGCAGCCTCCAGTGACAAGAGCTACAGCTGCTCCCTTGTCTAACCAATTTAGGTGACTTTCACGGGCCAGGGTCCTCTGTACCTCTCTGTTCTAATTTATTGAATATGTCTATGAGTGATTAGGAGCCTGTTGAATGGTGGTGCATCTGTAAAATATATTAGAACGACTTGAATTTCTTGATGACCTTCTAGTCCTTAAGGCTGGATGTCCTCCTTGCCCTCATCTTAATCTTTAGCCCCCTCTGCAGATTTCCCCCCTCATGTGCTCAACTGTACAAACATTGAAAGAAAGCTCAATCCCTTGACCCCGCTTACATGTTTTGACAGGATTTGTTAGTAACATTACCCACTGCAGAAATAAATCTTGGAGCTCCTTTTTAAGCTTTGATTTGTTTTTATTATCAGCAAACTAAATCAATTATAAGTTCTTAAAGTTTACAACTTTTATAACCATTTTCCACCCTACTGCTCTGGTCTCCAGGAGTTTAATCCGGAGGAGTTTTACCATCTCCTGGAGGCAGCAGAGGACCATGCCAAGGAGGGTCATCTAATGAAAACTGACATTCCTCGTTACATCATCAGCCAGCTGGGTCTGACAAGAGATCCGATTGAAGGTTAAGGGCCAAAGCAACACAGAATGGTTCCTAATTTGGAAAGGAAATGACTTTAAAACTAATTTGACAAAATACTTTTTATTATTAGACATGGTGAACCTGGAAAGCTATGACAGCGAGGGGCCAGTAACGCCTGAAACAGACGACTCAACAGAGGTGAGACTGAAATATTTCCTGTTATTCCTCCTCAGGTCGGGGTCCATGCTAAAGGTCAGTGGGATGGGAGGTCGTTATTTAGTGTCAGGATACATCAGGATTGAGATTTCCATAGTTTTACTTTCTGTATTAGTATGGAATTTAATTTATAATGCAGATAAAAGTCGTTTTTATATTTACATACAAAAAAGCTTGTTGGAAAAACTGCTGTTCATTGAAGCTTTTATCCTGAAGGTGCTAATACAGAAAAAAAAGAGGAGCATCTGTTATAGAGTTTACACCTTTTTTTTTTTCTCAGATCAGTTAGTATTTTTTAGCAACACTGCTTCATTTATGTTGAATTGGCATTGGTGAAATTAATTAAGCTAATTTCTTCTGACATCTAGAAAACCTGACACTATCACTCCAGGCTTTCCTGTAGCATTAGGCAAGCTTCCAAATTAGAGATAACTAGAAAAAAACTATGAGAGCGCAGACCTCGGCCAAGCTGCACATTTTGGCACCATATTGTGACTTAAATCTATAACTAAAACCTGGACATGGTCTGCTTCATTAACAAATTTTAATTGTTCCTTGGCATGAAATGCACCTTTGGTAACAATTTCCTTAAAGTCCTTTCATAAATAAGGCTCAGCGAATGGCTGCAGCCTCTGGTGTTTGTTCTGTTCTCACCTTCTTCATACACTCTGCTTTCTTATTTGATCAGCAGATCAAAATTTCAAGCCTTTTCCTGTGTTTTTGGCTTCACCATAATAATTCTTGGCTTTTTTGAGTCCGATGCTGAAGCTTTCCATATTCACTGCTGCCAATCTCTGATGGAGGTGGAAACTGCTTGTTTCACCACCATTAAAATCCATTCATAACGTTATAAGTTATCTTGTAAAAAGGCGAACAGACAGACAGGAAAAAACAAAAATCTCCTAAAAACATAACCTCCTTGGCAGAGGTAAAAATGGGTTTTGATAAAAAAGCACTGGAATTAAACATTTTAGCATGATATAAACAAGTTAAGCTCATACTGAATGATATTCTTCAAAGCAGCTGCCTTTTGATCCACAGGGAAAGATACGAGCAATGAAACCACCAGGAGAAGCAGACTTCCAAACCATCAAGCTGATCAGTAACGGAGCGTACGGGTAAGCCAATCAGTGCAGCATCCTTTGTAACCCACTCATGTGTATGGGCTTGGGTGCAAGTGATACTGTAAAACACAGATGAAACAGACATGGATTTTCTCTGTGTAAACTAGGGCTGTGTATTTGGTGCGTCATTTGGAGACACGTCAACGGTTTGCCATGAAGAAAATCAACAAGCAAAACCTGATCCTGAGGAACCAAATCCAGCAAGCCTTTGTGGAAAGGGACATCCTCACTTTTGCAGAGAATCCCTTTGTTGTGTCCATGTTCTGTTCTTTCGAAACTCGACGGCATCTCTGCATGGTGATGGAGTATGTGGAAGGTGAGGATCTGGAGATGTAGACCAAGAAGCATGAACACATAGCAGCTTCTGAGAAAGATAACTAGAGCAAAAATATTTAGATAAATGTTCAATCCCTGGATACACTTTGATTGTGTTTTGAGTTTAAGAAATTCAAGACACTTCCTCACTTTTGAATATAAAAATGGGCATTCCACAAGGCTCTATACTCAGCCCATTGTTCTTTAGTTTCTTCATTTTTTGACTTTTCTCTTCGCTACTCATGTGCCAGCTGTGAACTCTATGTAGACGATACAGTTCGTTAAAAAACTCTTGATATTTTTTTATATTGATATATTGTCGACCCTAAATTGTCCTATTTAGGGCTATCTTGTATGTTAGGATACAGCTTTGGTTTTTGTTCTTAATTAATTAGTTTAGTAAACTTCAGAAAACTAAAAATGTGTTTTATTTCTTTTATTAAATACATAAACAGATGTAGTTTTAATTGTGGAGAAAAAAAGTGTTCCCTACTGCAAATAAAATATTCATATTAAATTTACAGTTTAGGGGTTTGTCTCTTTAACTTAAACCTATATCTCAACTGAGCTTCTCAGGCGTTAGTATCTTTTTTGGTGTCTGATCACTTCTTCATCTAACCTTCTGTTTTATGCACCTTCTATATTTTGATTGGACCAAACAGAGCTCTTTGAGATGTTTAAAGGTTAAGATATTCATCAGCCCCTGTGTTATGTGCTGCTTGTTTCTCAGTATGTACCAAATAAACTACAAGGAACTAGTATAAAGCATAAATAACTCGCATTTGATCATTATATGACTTAGGACAGGGTTAGATTTGCATCCTGGGATATTTTTTTGTTTTGTTGTTTTTGTTTACTTTATTTGTGTTGTTTCCTATATGAAATTGCTGTCTTGAGTCAAGTCTAAGTGTCCCAAATGAACATTTTAATTAAAAAAAAAGATTTGTATTTGTAATGTAACTAAATGCAATAAAAGGTCAAGGAGCATATTCATTTTTGAGAGGCGATTTATTTTAGTATGGACGAGTGCTAGGCAGACCTCTTTACAAATCCTCATAAAAAATGTATAGGTCTGTTTCATTATTGCATAAAATTGGCATAAAATGGCAACACTGCCTCTAACTACCCTCAAAAGCTAGCTCTTTTTCTTTATTTTCATCCTTGGCGATTAACGGCCTAACACCAGAAAACTGGACATGATGTCCTTGAGACGCATCATGTCGTCCAACTCAAAGAACAGTCAGCATTACTTACAAAATAGCACTTAATGCACATTTCTGTCCGACATTCAATCGATTGCCCTTTCCTTTAACCTAAAACAATGTCGGAAGAGAGGTTTCTTTAAAGGTGCTGATGACACACAAAGCTCTCTTTCTGCAGGAGGGGACTGTGCCACTCTGCTGAAGAACATCGGGGCTCTGCCTGTGGAAATGGCACGCATGTACTTCGCAGAGACAGTCCTTGCATTGGAGTACCTTCACAACTATGGAATCGTACACCGTGACCTCAAGCCTGACAAGTAAGATGGAGTTTTTTTTCTTTTAAGCATCGCTGGGAAGTTTCAGAATAATTAAAATGTTTGACTGTGTGGTTTTTATTCACAGCCTCCTAATAACATCAATGGGACACATCAAGCTGACGGATTTTGGTCTGTCTAAGATTGGCCTGATGAGTCTGACCACTAACCTGTATGAGGGGCACATAGAGAAGGATACACGAGAGTTTTTGGATAAACAGGTAAATGTAGACAAATGGATATGGATAAGAGACTCTCTACAGCTCCCACATGTATTAACATTTTAAAAATATTTTTTTTGTTTTTCAAGGGATTTGAGTTTTTAAACCTCTATATCTATTAGATTACATTTTTTTATTTTGATTATTATAATTCTTTGTAGGGATGCACGATATTGGGATTTTGGCCGATATCCGATATGCCGATATTTTAAAACTCATGTAGCCGATAAACGATATCGATACCGATGTTAAAGCTGGACAAAAATAAGTAGTCATTGAAAATAGCAGTTTTGTTATCCATTTCTGACACTTTGAAAAATAATATACTCAAATATAGTCAAATTTTAGGATTTCCTAAAAGCGC